ATCACTTTTTGCGAAGATGTCAGGTTCAGGTTTTGGACACTTTCGATACGCAGCTAATGAATTTTATTCGAAAATATTTTTCACTGTTTATTCTAGACTTTTAAATTTGCAGTATAAGTTTACTGTGCAGAGGGTCAACGAGGCATCGTTTTTTTGAAGTGACAACTTCAAGAAGTTGCGAGGCCGTCAATGGGTTTCATAATGTTACCTTTGGCCCAGGTGGTAGGGCAATAATATCCTGCTCAGTGTTTCGGTAATATTCCTGGTTTCAACCTTTGAAAGCTTTCTCGGCTTTGAAAGCTTTCCCCCGTTTGTCGGCCATTTTTTTAAGCGGGCGCGGGAACCTGAAGGAAAATTACGTCACGTTGTTTACGAAGTTTGATTGGTCAGTTATCTCTTCTTCTCGTTCCAAATATGGTACTTTCGAAAAAATGAATACAGTCAACTCTCGCCTTGCGGACACCCCGCTATAACGGACAGCAGATAAATTCCGGGCAAAAATAAATTACAGACATTTGACTGAAATAAACTCCCGCTATTACGGACTCTCGCTACGGAGGACACTAACTTAAGGTCCCTACAGTGTCCGCTATAAAGGGAGTTGACTGTAATCACGAGCATCGGACAAAGCAAACATATGAGAGTTACACGTTTCAACCCCTTATGAGTTTCTGATAGTACTGATAAGCCATCGAAAACACCTAGATGTCTTCACTAGCAAATATTTCAGGAAATTGTGTGCTTGCCAACTACTAAACATAACTTTTTTCTCTTTCCGTTGGAAGTTCACCCTTCTGTAACCAACTTCACGAGCAGTGAGATATTAATAATGCTTGTCTACAGCTTTCGCTTGATTTACAGGCTTCTTTCTAATCAGGAGAAGCAACTCCGCTGTTGTTTACCTTCCTCTCTGTTAACTTTCTGAACCATTCAAAGCGAAAGCAGCCGTGCTACATTTTTCTGTCTGATTAAGCACAACATTTCAGCCAAGGATGATATCATCCGATATAACTTCCCTGAGCCAGAAAGGGGTTTTCATAATTAATATGTAATCCTCTGTCTGATTACCTTTAAAACATCTCTAACCTAACATATTGGGATAGAAAAAATGCAAAAACAAGAGGGTCAGCGTAATAACTAAAGAGAATCCAACCATATCACTACCTGGTACGTGTCGCTGCGCGGTTCATGGATTTACATTAGTAGACTGTTGGCAAAACCTGGCTTTGTAGGGTATGATTGAGGCTGAGATGATGACTGATAGAAAAAAGGTAGAAGAAGGAATGAGGCCTAGCTGTGAGAACAGAATAGATCGGAATTTACTTGACTTACAAATCGCCGGCCATCAAATAATAATTATCATTTATTCACTCAAAATATTTCCCCGATTCTGATTGGCTAAAAGCACACTCATAATTCACCATAACCAGTTACTGATGACCAAATTTGGAAGAATTTTGTGTTTAACGAGGAAATGACGTCATAAATGCAGCGTTCGTGCACGTTAAGGCACCGTTAACCGAGAAGACCTGGGGACGAGGTTGAGTTGTTTTGGTTGTGAAAACAAAAAATGGCGGACATTTCACTCGTTTCAAGAGTAAGAACTAGGCGAAAAAATAGCTAAAAACATGCAAGAAGACAACTCGAAGGGCGACATCTGCTATTTGGAGAATATTTGCGGAGCTGGACAAACCTAAACGTGCACTATCGAAGATGAACGTAACATCAATGGATCGATGGAGGTAAGCATGTTTTAGCCATGTTTTTAAACTAGGAATTATTTTGAATGAATAATAAAACAATTATTGAATTCGGCTTTCGTATCATGTGAAGAATTATGGAGATCTCGGAGGGTGTTATCCACCTCGGCCGTACACCCTCCTCGATCTCCATAATTCTTCATAAGATACTCAACCTCATTCCTTAATTGTTAATTAATAATAATTTATTATGAGCAAACTCAACTGAAACTTTTCAAATGCAGTAACTACATTCAGTTTGTTAAAGAAACCCCAGTATAAAAGCCAGAACAAAATTAATGAAAAATGGAATTACAGTGGATGATATTTACACTCCGATATACTATATCGAACCATAGACCGTATGAATTAAGATGAGTCGAACTGTTACACTATTTCTCTAAAGTTGGTTGCGCACTGTACGACTCGATCAATTTATCGCTTTCATGGTCCGTTAGTTACGCTTTTTTCTTTCATTTGGCTCCATGCTGAAACTTGCACAAAAATGGCCTATTTTCTTAAACACTTTGTTGTATTTTTTCAAAGCTGTCAGCGATGACTGCGTTAAAAACTGTCTTCAAGTTTCTTTAGAAATGCATTAAATAAACATTAATTTATCAATTTTGCTAATCTTCGATTCGGGATATATCTCGGGATATTCAGGATATTTTCCGGAACTGTCAGTTGCGACTAGCTCAAAATTTTACTGTAACTGGATGGTACAAAACAAATTTGTATTTACTGCTGTTATTTGAAATTATTGATGAAGACAAAAGGTGAAAAGAGACTCACTTTGTTAACTTTACCATGCTTTCTTACCTCTGAAAAATCGTAGGGCAAATATTGACGCCGACGGGGTTACCTGATATCCGCCCTCCCATTCGCTACCACGTGATCCAAAACGGTGACGGTGCACAATCCTTTTTTCGACCCAAAACAACAGATTTTAAAGTCAAATACTGCATATTATTTACGTGGACCCAGGAGAATTTCTCGTTTGATAGCGACTAAGACCCATAGTTATAAGAGGACAAATAGAAACAACGGTGATACAGTTTATGTTTGAAGCTTCCTGACGGTGCACAGTCCTTTGTTTTTTTCTGTAATGGCGTAATGGGAGACAATCGGGAATCTTCATGACCGTGAGACATGCTCCTTTCAAAGGTGTTATACCTTGCGCAGTTTAGCGGAAGTAGTGTAAGATAAGTTATCCGATAGCAAGCGAGAGTTTTATCTCCATGTTATTTAGATTGATATATGTGGCCTTCAGATTTTACAGTAAGTGAAAAGTGAAAAAATTTAATAACAGTAAATAGAACTACAATTTACATGTAATAGGTAACTTGAAGATATGAATTCTATAATCTCCTATTAAAAGCAGTATTTACCACTCGATAGTCTGTCTATAATGCTGGTTGGTTCCAGGCTCCAAAATACGAAAATAAAACGGGAGGAAACTGGGGAGAGCAGGGCTTTTTCCGCCCGCCACATTTTCGCGTGCCTTTACTTTCGCGTTTTCGCCACTATCTGAGAGCCTCTTCCAGGCTATGACGTCCGCGTCCTCATAGCTTAGGCTCGCTAATGTCGCGACGCGGTCTACGCCATATATCTGGCAATCTGGAGACCACTTGTCAGACGTTTTGTCATCGATCACATTTGAGATGGGAAACCTCTGAAACATCCTCAAATTCTATTTATGGCCCAATTTTGGCAGTTTAAAGCTCTCAGAACGCTGGAGAATATAAAAGGAAGATATGGTAAATTGAGCATTTCTTCAACTTTCAGCTCACGTGAACGTGATTGCGTGTTTAATAATGATGCTTTTTGCTGCCCAAACCTCTGTCTCTTTCATGGCAATAAAATCTAAAAGAGCGCTACAGAGTAAGAAGGAAATATTTGCTGACAAACAAATTTTATGTGTTTTTCTTTCCCGTGTTTTCCGTATAGATTGTCATCAGTGAAGAGTATCTTGCTCAATCTTGCATTATCTAAGAATTACAAGCGCCCGAGTGATAGGCAAGGGCTGGGATTACCCATTTCAATGTATTGAATCCCCTGTGTATGGTCAAGTTATGTGCATGTGATCTCGCTACACACGGTCATTGGTTTGTAGACACTCGCTGTGCGAACATCTTATCTTTTTTCCCTCCTCGTCTCCTTGTCCTGTCCGCTTTTGATTTTATGTGATAGTTATCACGGCGTTTTTCTGCTCTCACCTTTACTGGGCGGAGTATGTTTCTGATCGAAATTGTAATATACTGATTCATAACAAATTGAGATTTAATTACGAGTTATTTATAAACCTGTTTCATGCTGAATTTGATTAACTCTACCATGGAAAATGGCCTATTCTATTTCAAACAAGTTGGTAACGTCTATGAAATCGGCTTTGGGCCTTACCCTTAGCCAATTTTTACTCCAAATCAATCCAGTCTCTGTTTGTTGTTTTTGCCTAGTAACAAGTGCGGGAACTGCAGCCTAATGGCAAATAACTAATAATTATTGTTATTACCAAAAAAAAAACAGATTTGGCAAATTATGAATTATTTTCACGTTCAGTTTACGAAAAAGCCTCCCGTGCAGACGTTCTTAGGGGTTCGTCACGCGTTCCTACCCCACGAACGTCTGCTTAACCGAAAGATAAATTCGTTTTCCATTGTTCTCAAACATCAGCTGGAGATCACATGCAGATTATCGGAGATCCAATCGGCGCTGTTAAAGTCAAAGTGTTGACAAGCCAAACACATACGTACAAGCTCTGTGGAGTGTGATACGTGACCAAAGAGTTCCTGGGGCAGGAACGCGTGACGAACCCCTAAGAACGTCTGCGTGGGAGGCTATTTACGAAAGGGTATGATTGCGTATCAAATACTTGAGCTCTTTATTGTCCAATCATAAGCTTAGTCAACACTTGAGGCAACGAAGTGGTTAATTATTTAAGACCAAGTTACCTTTCCATCTATCGCACGTTAAACTCAGCACAATCATTCTTTAATTCTCAGGACGTTCGTCATTAGCAATCAGTGTCATAATAGTACGCAAAATGATAGTTTACTGAGGTGATTGGCATTTTTTTGTTCATTCTTTGCTGGGTGTCATCGGCTTAGCATGGTTCTGAGCTGTTTGAACCTTTATGACAAGGCTTTATGCTTCTATAATTGCAGACTGAAGAAGCATGGCATCATTGACTGGAATCCTGTTTGAGGTCTCCGGTTCCATGCGTCGTAGCATTGGAGAGGGTACTAATGAAGAACTAGGACCATGGGCTCTTTCGATCTTTGAAGTTATTGACAACCTCATCAAACATTCTATTTCTCCTGATCATCATATATTTGCATTAGGCTTTGGGGCTAATTGTGGTGAGGAATTATTTGATATCATACGAACTCTTAAACAGATTCCAAATCAAGAAACTGCTGTTGAAGGACGTGCCACACCTGATCACATAAACCAGATTTTCGATATATTAGAGGGGGCCGGCGCACGTACAATTCGCCAATGGGTACCACTAGAAGTTGTCAGCAAAGCATTATCTGATAATTTAGCTGTCGGGTTTTTGAAAAAGTTTAAATCTGACCAATCGTTTCTTAAAGAATTCGTCGAGCAAGCTCTACCACCGGCTTGCCGCGACTGGCCTGAACTGGGACTAGGTCACTATTTAATGCTAGGTGGTATTGCTGTGATTGCTAGGATTCCTCTACTCGCGACAGTAGGTTTAGGGTTAGCTTTAAAGTTTGGGCCAAGAGCAGGGAAAAAAGTGTATTCCTCGGTGATGACTCGGTATTATAAAGGGGCTACTGTAGACGACGTCACAGAAGTAGTGGAAAAGGTCAAAGGCCATTTGCTCATAAACGTAAATGAAGAATCCATTTTCAGAGTTCAAGATGCCTCAGATGTTGTGCGTGGGTGCCTCAAAAAACTCTTTAGAACAAGCAGTAGGGAATTATTGCAGATGGTCGAGCCCTACATTTATGGCAGAACGCCTTTTTATCAATCGATTGAAAAGGCGATAAAACTTTTCCAAGCGTCTAGGTTTTCCAGTCACAAAAAGCTGCTCTACATCTTCTCAAGGGGGGAGCCCTCAGATGGAGAGAGTACTGATGCTGCAAGGATAGATCGATTGGTCTGTGAATTAGCCACAGCAGGTGTGACCGTAGTGAGCTGCTTTGTCAGTGACTCCGCACAGATTGAACCCAAACGACTGTTCAGCAAAATGAGAGAAGACTGGAACCCAGGTGCAAAATTAATGTTCTCATTGAGCTCAAAATTGCGAACGCAATCGATACCACGTAAATTCTTTGTTAAACGTGGTTGGTTCATCGAATTCACTGACAACGAAACTCACCTGTTCCTTCAGTTCAATCATCCAGACAACTGGCAAGAGATCAGCGAGGTGGCTGGAAATGTCATTTGTTGTCAAGACGCGTTTTCCGACTTCCTTGCCTCTCTCGATTTAGACCTCTATATCAACCAAGAGGTAATGGGGTATGAAGCAAAAATGAGACAAAAAGGGCCAACTAGCTCTGCGAATGCAGCTGCTACAGTACTCTATTTATCCATGAGACGAATTCTTGGACGCGAAGGCGGATATCCAAATTTTTACAAATTAAGAGAAGAAATTATCAAACGATTTCATTGGTCAACCGGTTTTCACACCCTCCAAGTGCTACAGGAAATGTGCGAGAAGTACCGCCTGCATTGCAAGCAAGTTGACCTCGAGGGAGCCATGAAAGCAGTTATTTCAAGCCGGCCAGTAGTGGCGAGTGTTAGGCTCACTGAACTTGAATGGAAAAGATTTTCAAACTTCTTTCGAAGAAACCCAAAAGGCGTTTTGACGAAGAAGGAGATTGATATAACAGTCCGTCTTCCCAATGCTCCTACCATTGGTCTTGCAGTTGTGTTAACCAGTTTCGACAGCAAATGTCTACACCTGCTGAATTCTTGGGGAGAAACATGGGGAGACATGGGATACTTTAGAGTGCAAAACCCAGATGTTCTTGCTTTGGAATTCATCGACGTTTACTGGACAAAAGAAGATTTGACAGAAGTAGAAAAAATCCGTTACGAGGAACGTGGATCCGACATTGCCAAAATATTAAAGAGCTCCTGTGTGGGTATTTCTGACAAAATTGAAGTTGCGACGATCGACCTTGACGAAAATACGATCTTAGACATTAAAGCCACGATGAAGAAGTTTGACCATTTTGGTCAAGGTTGACAAGTTTAGTCGTGCAGTGAGAGCAAAGAAACCTATTAACTAACAATGTCATTCACGTTTCCTTTGCTTCCCAAATCTATGCTTTTGTCTCGTTTCCTCCGTCGTCGTGGTTGCTCACGCTCGTAGCAGCGCTACCACGCAAAGCAGCTCTTGATACGATGCAAGCGACGATTTCGTTGAAAAACTGACGATTTGAGGGGAAACGCGCGACAAACGCCACATCTGCAGATACCCAAGTAGTGATGAAGGTACTGAATTAACCCCTTTTTGTGGGGGAGTGCATTAACGACCGATAACGTCACTGCCTTTTTTCTTTATCTCATGAATAAAATGCGGAGGAATCTCATTACCTCCCATCTTTTGTATTCTTAATACAATAGGAACAATAGACTCACGTAGCCTAGACCGATTTTAACCTGTTTGTAATGTCCTAGTCTATTTAACCGGTTTGAAAGGTTTTTAGCTATTTTTAAATGTATGGTGTCATAGTCTATTTAAAAGTATGTGTCATATTTATTTGGGTATGATCTCATAGTTTATTTGAATAGGGTATAAGGGTATATCCTTTTTTCGGTATGTCATAGTTTATTTGTATTGGTCATGTGCTTATTTGGATATGATATATCCGAATTTCATTTTAATTGGTGGACAAGAATCAAGTTGGTTGTTTGCCGGTATTTTTTTAATGTCCTTAAAACATTAAACCCGCTCCGAAATAAAAACCGACTTAAAATCACTGAATCGTAACGTAATTATACAAGTTCAATTTCTTACCGGTTTCATTATCCGACAAATTGTTTCATTTCCGGTTGATTGATTCTCTGCGCGCAAATCGTGTATATTAATGAGTTCCAAGGCAAACCAGTTCTTTCTAGTAACAAACAACTGCTTTTACTCACCCCACTCCACTTTCTTCTCCTTCTAAATTCGGTTTATTTCGGTGCGTCTCAAATTTTTTATTTTCCCTTCACCACCACCACCCTCATATTTCTATTGCCTTACGTCCTCCTCCTCCTTCTCCTTCTTTGTATCGTAAGATAAATGCGGGGTTGAAGACAAGATCTGAATAAGATTGGATTTCCGAGGAAAACAATCAAAATTGCAAACATAAAGAATGATGATGTTGTGTATCACGACATTTATCGGGCCAAAAGGGCATATAGGGCAGAATTTGTGTGCTGTTTCTCTCAGACACACGCGTGTGGTCGCACGTAAAGCTAACGAAGAATGCGTGTGTATTATGTGCGTTTTAAACGCACGAATTTATTCCACATTCTATCAAGGTGCAACGCAACAAGCATTCATAGCCCCATCGTGACTACTTAGAGACCTCATGAAAAGAATACAACACATAAATGTCCCTTTTAAGCGTTGATGTCCACGACTATTGCTGGGAATCTGTATGTAAATTGTCACTCACTCGTAACCGGAAGTTCTATCTAATTAGCTAATCAGGATGGATAGTATTTCAAGCGAATCACAACACAGCTTAGATAGCCTGCGAAAGCATCCGTTTCTCCTTCGCTCTTCGCCGCTGGGGACGTTTCGCTAAGCTTAGAAAGCCCAACGGAAGTTCATTTCACAATTTTCTGTTGGTTCAAAAGCCGCTTGTGACAAAGTACTAAATTAAATCCAGTATGTGCCGAAGGCACGTGGAAGCCTGGGAAACAACAAACATGGCGGCTAATTGTGCGATGTGCTCCCATTTGGGTCGAAATAGCGGTTATTTTCATCGTTAATTAGAATATTCCAACGCATTTGAAGAGTTAAAAGCAAGAGGTAAACTTAATATTGTTGTTTTAAGTTGGGAAAGAAAATGCTGGACTACATTATAAATCAAAGCTGCGACGGAAAACGTGTTGTGGACGTTGTTCATGTTGGACCAGCTGGCCGGTACAGATAACTGATTGAACCAAAGACCAGGGCCATAGCTGGCATGGGGCAAGACAAAGTAGTTGCCTCGTCTTGATTTTGGCCTTTTTTTTTTTTTTTTTTTTTTTTTTTGAAGAAACTTCAGCTCACTGAGAAGGCTTAAAACCTGGTCCCGAACAAGCATGGCTAATGCGAGGCTGAGTGGGATTGCTTTGGGGGGCATTCATAAACCAACGGAAATTGAGAGCAGTTCTGTTTTAACGAGATGGGATGCCTCTGGCCACAGACGGGTTGCCTTAGCTTTCAGTGAAGTATATACAACGGGCAAAAAAACTTTCACTTTTCTAACGGTTAAGGGAGACGTTTACTACTCTTGATCGTGAAAGTTGGTGACTTCTTAGTCCTACAAGTATAAGAGATGGCATTTTTATGACATGGTTGTCTCAAAGTTGAGGAACATAAGCAAGAGTGTATCGAAACAGATAATTGATAGGAGAGCGTGATTCTATGTGTCATCTAAGAACTAAATTCAAAAAAAGTGTTACCTAAGACTTCTCCTAATTATCTACAGTATAAAATCCATAAACGTTGACTACTCTCGTGGATTCATTCTATAGTTATAATACGTGTTACAACATTTGAATGCTTTAAAATGCAGATGGTCATTAACTTGGCACCAGTATCGCTGAGCAATAAAAAGCTGAACTTCTACACTTGCCCAAGATTGACTTTTCTGAAGAAAAATACCACGGAAAATGCTTACAAGAGCATTTCTGAGCCTCTAGATTTCAAAATTTTCAGGGGGGGGGCATGCCCTCAGACCCCTTGGCGACTCGCGCCTTCGGCGCTCGAGACTTGCCTGGTCTTGTTCTGAAGTCTGCCTACGGCCCTGGAGATCGAAGAAAGTAGCCGGGAGTAAGGGAAAAAACAGTTTTTACTGCACAGTGAACGTTTTAATCACGTTTAATTGTAGTAAGGTAAAGTGACAATTGAACGATACTTCTGGATTATAAATCAGAACGTAACGTAACAAAACATTGCCTAAATAGAGCATGCCAATCACCGTTTTGAGACGTAAAAAGTGAGGTAAAGCTGTTTCACGTTAGATTTGTGACAACATCAGTAGTAGGGGAGGCACCGGTTACGCCGTTTCTTTGCGGGGGAATTCCATTAACTTTCGGGGGAATACATTAACGCAGATGACGTCATGCATCTCATTAAGATAGGATGATGTCATACTTTAAATTAATGCCGATGACGTCATGCATTCCCTGCAGAAAGGATGATGTCATAGTTTATTTTTAGCTGGCTGACGTCATGCATGTCATATAGATAGGATGATGTCCTAGTTTATTTGTAGCTGGCAAGGAGCAAGTGACGTCAGAATTTCCTAGAGTTGACGTCATCAAAAAATGTTGAGATAATCTATAAACAGAAAAGTGATTTTTATATAATCAGCTATTTGCTATAGTCTTCTGATTAGATATTGTTTGCTCTAGTCTTCTGATTGGATATTGAAGAAACTGTTATATGTTCAAAATAAAAGCGGGCAAATTTTGAACGTGTTATCCTTGCAGATTATACTAAATGAAAAATCTTTAATGATTAAATTATTTTCACTAAAAATCGGTTATAAACAAAACCAAGACACCGAGGTTAACTGAAAAATCTTTACTTCAAAAGAAGGGAAAAGGAGGTTAAGCGAATGCGAAATCGTACTAATTTTTCAGGCAAAACATGAAAACGAGGTCGAAGCTCAGCGAAGCGAAAAACTGCCTATCAAGCAAAAATGTCAATCTTTGTTTACTTGACTCTGTAAAAAATATTGCACAGGGTATAAAAATTCTATAGAAAACAACAGGTGTTTCTAAAGTAAACACTAACTCTTTTGGTAACTCTTTTGGTTCTTGATTAAGCTCCATTCTAGTAACGAATAAGTGGAACGTCTATTTAAAAAAGAGATAGGAATAAGAGGTGCGATCGCCTGGCAACACATGTCTTCTTATTTAGTGCTAAAAATCGGATATATAAACAAAACACACACACACACACAAAGTGGAGCTGAAAACTCTCTATTTCAATTTCGACTCACCATTACAAAACCGTTTTCTCCGTTCCATCTCGAGGAAACGACTAACTATTGAAGTCTCAGCCCTTGCGCTTGATGAGCTTATGGTCTTGCGCGCCGTTAGTCAGTTAATTATGCGAGGTCACAAGCCCAAAGTTGAATACAAATTAGTTGATCTCTACAGCTAGACCCAAGGGAGCACCTTGACGTATTATTATATAAACAATTTTAAATAACTTAACAAGGATCAATTTGAACACGCGACTAATAATTGCTAGCAATAAAACCACAAGAGAGAGACCGTTTTAAAAACTTTATTAAAAGTCAATAACAAAAAGAGTCAAATACACAGCGATTTGAAAGGAAAAGGAATGAAAATTAATCCTTTGACTGACTATTACAAATCATTTTTTTTTCCGTTCTATTTCGAGGAATGATAAATAATCCTTCCGTGTCAGTAGTAGGTAAAATGGTTATCCTGAAGCATTTTTTTTCCGTTTATTTTCTGATTAAACCGTTTGAAATCCCTGTCATGACTTTTTGTGTCATTTTTAACCGAATTTTTCTATCATTTGAAATTCTCTGTTTATTTCTATCATTTAAAACCGTCATTTTTTCCAATCCCACCCATTTTTCATTTTTGTAACCGTTTATCAGTCCGGAATATCCCTAAATTTAAGGACAGGGCTAACTGGTCAGGCGACACTTTTCAACCAATGAGAGGGCGCGCTTGTGTTTATCAACAAACAAATCAAAACATCGCCCCAGTGATCAAAAATTTTCAAAACAACGGACGGAGTCGGACAGAATTAAAGATCAGCTTACAATACTAGTCTAGGTTTCACATTTAATATTTCAAAGAAAACATTTCATGTAAGAGAATAAGAGCATTAATCATTGCAAGGAACGAATCATCGGGGTGTTCCAACTGATTCCGGACCGATCGCGGAGGTCGTGGTTCACTGGCATGGCTTGCAAGATTTTTGATAGAAGCAAACTAGTCCCGTGAAAAATAGCCTTAGAGAGAGTGTGAAAATTTGTTGAGATCGTACAAAACAGGATTGGTACTACCTATTAACTTCTACAGGACAAGAATCAAAGAATCAGTCATCATAACAAGAATAGAAAGTAGTTCAAATTTATTAATTTTTCTTGTTTGTGTTTTGTGTTGTTTCGTGTTGACTTCACGCATCTGGTGCTTTCTTTGCTTGCTGTAGTACCTGCAATGTTTTAATTTTATCCCAGATAATCAGTGCATGTTCAATGAGTAGCGAAATACATCATTTACAATTGAGATTTGCCTTGTTTCTTTTATTATTTTTTAACGGTGGATGAACATTTGGAGAATGCAACAACATTAAATCTTTCCAGAATGGTGAATTTCAGAAACAAAGCGGTTAGTATCTACGTTGCGCTTATGATCTTCAAATTTCATCCCCGCAAATTCGGCAAAGTGAGGCGAAATGTTGGACGTTAATATCCATAAGACTATTAAAGTTGTTTTGGCCTTGAAAAGAAAAAAGGCAAAGGCTCGTACTAATGCGAAAAAAAGTAATAACACGGCTCTGTGAGAAACCCGGGAGTGGAAAACGTACGTGTTTTGGACCTCGGAATTCAAAAATTCTCTACCAGAATTCTAGGTTGTCTACCATCCCCACATTCAACATGATAAAAGTTAATCGATAGGACAATCGAGGAAAAATATCTAGAACTTCGTAAAAAATCTGTGAATCGAAAAAATAATAGACACTTGTCCACCTACCTTGAAA